TCTTGTCTTCGATGTGCAATGCACCCATCATAGCAACAAGCTTGTCTTCTCCGTAAGCATCTGGGAACTGCCATTGGAGGAGTTTTATAATGGCATATAGTGGCTGATCTGCTCCAAGTACTGTGGTCTGGCCCGGGTTTAAGAACCCGCACAGACAAATCCATAGCATGTTTCATAGAAGATGCAGATGCTGCTTTATCCGGGAAGAAAGAATATATACCAATCTCTGCTGGAGGTTTCACAGATCTGTCACTTGCAAGAGACGAGTTGTACCCTGCCCAGGTGATGATGTCACCCTCTTCTACTGGACCCTTGTTCAATACCTCTGAGACGAGTGTAAGCCATGCCTGATCCTTATCCATTGAATCTTCTACAAGGAGACTTGGTCGGACTTGGTTTGTAGTAGATTTTGGAGCATAGACATCTGTCTCAGAGAGTTCTACTGGTTGTTGAATCGTATAAAAGTCCGGCAACTTTGGAGGGGTTGTGTCCATTGGATCCTGTTTTATCGGAGCATGCTTTACTCCCATATTCTCATTTGATAGATGATTGGTCACACTGAGTGCATAGCCATGAAATTCATCTTGTGAGAAATTTCCTTGTGCTTTGCTGTCAAGATTATCCACATCATGTGTAGTGAACCATATTATATTTTTTTTCTAAAATGGCATTTTCTACATAAATCGATAAGAAACTATAAAAAAACATGTTCTTAGAAAAAGAAAGAGGATATATTTTGTATTTCTTCGTTTGTTTATTGACATTTTGATGTTTTTGGTCCACCCTCTAGATCTTATTTTTCATCTAACTTCTTTAATATCATTCACACAAATTTTATTTATATATCACTGTAAAGCTCTTTTTATTGTCTTTCATTTGATATACAACATGATTATGTACAATTTATGACAATTTATGACTAAATTTTTTTCTTAAATCGGGGTGGCGGCCATTTTGTTTTTTGTCCAATATGGCCGCCACAGGGGGCGGCCATCTTGGCGCCCGTCAGAAATAAGCTTAGTATGTCTTAAGCTACCTCTGTGCCAAATTTGGTGCTTTTGGAAGAATCTGAACCAAAATATCCCTATGCCCCTGATCCTATTGAGATAATCTGTACGTAGTATGTTTTCCCCATTGGCGGGGGTAAACGGTCTTTGTCCTTCTGTGTCAAAGTTAAGTATTGAGATCACACGCCGTTATCATTAATCATATTATTCCGTAATCCGATAAGACCGGGATAATCTCTTCTTACAAATATATTTCTCACACGTGGTGTTCGTGAAGCTCAAACGTTTAACGTCGTAGAAATGTTCCCACGCCAGTACAACAAACAGACATGCACATGTCATGGACATCCCATTTGTGTGGTGGTTAAAGCCATACTCACCAATATTCCACTCATATGTCGGCAGCCTGTAAATGAACGAGTTTGGACCAGACAAACCAGTGATTGATATTATGAACAACAACCCACGCTGTCTGGGTACATTGACACGCAATCAACCAAATAACCAACCTGACCACCATCTATCTTGTCCAGCAAAGGCTAGAGGTCAATTCTAATTGCCAACTCAGAAATAAATACATAGTTAGCTTATTGGAGAACGGTGATGTATTTCTACTGTACCTTCTTAAGACAATGGTCACGATATGGCTGAAATATTGCCGATGTGACGTTAAATATTAACTCACTCACTCTTAAGACAATGACTGAAATGTAGTGAGCGTTATGTGACAGTTACAATCCTAACACTGTCTTCACAATAGGCAGAAATTGCATCTGGACTTGGTTTTCTGCTGTCTGAATTAGTATGAACCCTATGTGACGGTTCCAGTTCTACCAATGCCTTAACTCTAAGCACAGACTGTGTCTAGACTTGGTTTCCTGCTGTCTGAATTAGTATGAACCCTATGTGACTTGGCCTCTTGACTGAGATATTGACTTCAGTGTATGTTTGATCACCAGGTACTATGTCACCGAGAGACGTCCCAGACGATGTATGTTACAGGTGTTCTGTAGTGAAGCAACATATGATATGCCCAGGTATCTGTGACACGGTAGCCGACAGGCGGGGAGACCAGTCTGTTTAAAGAAGGGTGTGTTTTAAAGGAGGATCGGTTCATCACTGACTTTCAGTGCCCCGTACATATAGTTCTCAACACTATTTTGTCAGGCCCAATGGAATCAATTGCGTTTGGTAATTCTCTGGTTCTGACCTTGTAGATGATGATGACAGGTTAACATTCAAGTTAGTGAGTGAGTTGGGTTTTACGCCGCTTTTAGCAATATTCCAGCAATATCAAGGCAGCGAACGCTTTAACCACTAGGCTACCCCACAGCTCCTTCGTGGATGTGATGAAGTCGTCATTTATGTTAAATATTTAGCACTAAATGAATTGGTTGTGGCAATATGCACATAGCATACACGATCGTCTATGTTCATTTATAAAAGCTTTATATGTTCTTTCCCTTTCGATCCCTGTGTGTTACGGACATAAAATATGTTAAAGGTCAGGGTCAAATATTTGAATAACATGCCTCTTTGTATTTCGCATTGATGCTAGCGTTCCTCAACATTATACAGTCCGGTTGTCTACAGCCGAAAAAGATACCTATACGGTTTACTAAAATCACTGTTAACCAAAAGATGGAGATTCCGTTACTAACTTAATCTCTTTTGCCATGTCCAACCAAAACCCCACAACGTTAATAGTGTACTCCTTGAAACCAACTATACTTGTCAATCTAGTGAATGTTTAAGTCACTAAGAAATCAAGAACGGCTTCGATCTAAATACTGCAAATGTTATTGTTGTTTTGTTTTGGGTTTTTTTGTTTGTTTGGTGGGGGTCTGAAAGAGAACTCAAGTATATTTTTGTAAAGTGTTTTCCTTACATTAAATTCAAACCAAGCGTTGAAGATATAACCTTTGAAAAAAAACTACTAGAATGGTACTTCAGTGCCTGGATCCTTTGTCAAAATGTGAAGTTCAAATCTTTGACTGTGTATGTCTCGACCACCCACTGAGATCAATGACATATAGTGGGTTGTCAAGTGATTCTAGGAAATAGTAAATGAAAGGAAATTGACCCGTTATTATAAAAAAAGGTTAAATATATATTAAATAGGCCTAAACTGTCAACAAATGAAAAATATTGTTTGCAGGCTATGCCAGGTAAATATTCTTACGCAAATATTTTGTTAGTAATGATCGCTGAACAAAAATCATTGCCAGGATGTCTATGGTTTTTCGCTACGAGTGTTAGACAAATACACATCAAGAGATCTAATGTTGGTTTTGAAAAAGAAATATATGCATTTAAGGTCGCGTTATGAAAAGGAGCGGACTTGACAGTTATAAAGGGCGCAACGGGCTTGTACCGCGTCACGTTACCATGAAGGCTGTCACGGATGTGATACGTACATAAATAGCAAACAGAAGTTATCATTGTCATGGATGTATTTTGAAACGTGCTGGGTGAACACTTTTTCCGTTTTGCACGTTATAAAGCATATTTCATAATAAATTTGATATGTTGTTTCAAAAGAATTCCTCGCGAATTTCAACGAGCTTATCAAGAGAGAAAGGTCTGATGACTGGACTCGTTCTATAAATTGATCGTAACGTTAATCCTCATACGTAAAGGGGCGGTGAGGTAGCCCAGTGGTTAAAGCGTTCGCTCGTCACGCCGAAGGCCCGGGTTCGATTCCCCACATGGGCACATTGTGTGAAGCCCATTTCTGGTGTCCCCCGCCGTGATATTGCTGGAATATTGCTAAAAGTGGCGTAAAATCCAACTCACTCACTCACTCATACGTAAAACTGGACTTACGATAGTCGTCAGTTACCTATCACTGGGTCGACATGAACATACCTTTCAATTTGAATAAAGGGGAACACTGAAGGCTTGAGTTCCGAACACCTGTTATCGACTTCTACTTAGAAGGCTGTTGTGGTGAAACTGTACTAAATGCTGGCGCTTACTTCCTGTGTTCTGGGAACAACAACATCACGCCATGTATGTCCTTCACAATAATAATATGTTGTCATCGGGTTGAATTCCAATCTAGTATTGACAGTAGTCTAATCTGTAAGGTGTTGTAAAGTACCATATACATTCTTCAGTATGACTAACGCATTGTGTTAACACACTGGTATGCATAATACCATACGCTTCTCGCGTAATGCAGTATGGGTGTGTTAACCTGAACATTGGACTAGAGGTGGATGTAATCTCAAGTCAATTCCAAGTATGAACATGATATTATCAGAAATGCATCTATGATGATAAGCCTTGCCTCATTTGTATTGACTTTAAGTAGCAGGATATCTCAACAGGTTATCGATGTTGCAGGAGTTATCGCCCATGGAACTCGTGATAAATGTTTACATGCATAATATAGATGTACGCCCAGAATCATTAATCAAGCGCATATAGTCGAGACGCCCCTGAAATATAACCATTGTGTGAAATCTATACTCAGTTCAATAATAATACGAACTCAGCGTCGAGGCTGGCGTTGCAATTTGCAGCATGACCTAGTTTCGTTTTCAAACTGAAACAAGCCTTCCAGTTATAGATTAGATCTTAAAATCAACCATTTTGATATATGTTTAGTGCAACAACTAATACCACCCCTAAATAGTTGGGCTACGGGTGGGGGTGGAGCTGGGGGGACTACATGTTTAATGTTGAATATTAGGATAAAACGTGCAGATGTACATGTACATGTAACGTACATATTTGTACTATATTTGTACGACATCTGAAATGTACATCGTGGCAGTTTACACATGTATTGATATACAGACAAGTGTACATACACACACGTATACAAGCACATATTAAGCACATGCGTTGAACGCCGGACAGAAGCCGCGTGATAAGTGACAGGAAATTAAATAAGATGACATGTACAACACCAACTCTGACTGACACTTGACGGGATATCAATAAGGTGCACTGGGATAGTGAAATGTACATGAACGCATTACAAACCTGCACGGTAAGCTCCCCAGGCGATGTAAGTATCCTCATTGGTACACTCTCGATGTCCTGGTAGTGTCACACCTCACTGATACATTGAAATGAACAACGGTTGGGAGATAAGCTGTATATATACTACCGGGGCTATTCTCGTCAATAACGCACATATTGACACGTCTGGGCGAAAGAAATTTATGACGGCTTAACACAGTTCGGGTCATTTATGAATGAAACCTTCCTTGTAGCGTCGGGCTATGGGGGCTGTGCTATAGGGTGTCGTTTTGGCGCGGTATTCCGTCTTGGCAGGATATGTATCAATGAATGACAGCAATGAACAAGTGAGGTAAATTTCAAAAATAGAATATTGCCTTAAGCATTTCTTCCCACACGTCGTTATTATCGGACATGCCAAGTAGATGTGTCGAGTACCGTTAAGTCTGCAACGTCGGTAGACATGTGTACTGTATTGCCTAGAAATATTAATGCTTTATAAGAGTCAATATTAACTTTGCAATGGGGTGAAAAACCTGAAGGGTCAATATTTGCGTAACCTTTCCAGCAGTTATAAATTCTGATATCTTAACTCGGGAATGAAAATCTAGCTTGAAATGTAGTGGCAGATATGACTCTTATTCTTAATTCAAATTGAATTTACAACCGGAATTGTATTTAACGCATGGTGACTGTTCCTGATATCGTCGCGACTTGATGACATGGCCAGATTATAAGTTGAACTTTGGCGATATTATAACGTACTAAGAACACTACGACTGTGTAAAGTGTGTAAGTTCGATATGATTGAAGATGAATTTTATTTTGTTATGATATGTCCAGCTTATGAATGCTTAAGATCTAAATACCTACCCTTTGTCTGTACATCCTACAATATAAAAACTAGTTTCATCATCCTAATGGCATCTAATGATACAAAGGTTATTATTAAGCTACAACTTTATGTTCACTATGCACTACGTCTGAGACGTCAAAGTTTGTAACTTGCATGTTCCAACCTGCTGGTTTTATCATCTGTATATGGGCCGGAGTTATAAATTGTCCACTATTGCACATGTTGGTATTGGTGGGCTACAGTACTCCAATAGGATCACTAATCTATAGTACCCGTGAAGATCCGGGTTAGAATTGATCTTCAGTAACCCATGCTTGTCGTAAGAGGCGACTAACGGGATCGGGTGGTCAGGCTCGCTGACTTGGTTGACACATGTCATTGTATCCCAATTGCGCAGATCGATGCTCATGCTGTTGATCACTGGATTGTCTGGTCCAGACTCGATTATTTACAGACCGCTGCCATATAGCTGGAATATTGCTGAGTGCGGCGTAAAACTAAACTCTCTCACTAATCTATAGTACCAAAAATGGTAACAGTATGTACGGCACTCCCAGACCGCGATAACTGGAACTGATTTACATATAACTGCCAAGAGTGAGTCATACATGTAGTGAGGCGGTTGGGTAGCCGAATGGTTGAAGCGTTCGTTCATTTAGCCGAAGACTCGGGTTCTATTCCCCACATGGGTACAACATGAGGAGCCCATTTTTGGTGTCCAACGCCTTGATATTGCTGTAATATCGACGTAAAACTAAAACTCACTCGTTCATACAAACCTCTCTGTCAAATGCAGAATGCATGTTAGGTCAAGAAGAAAGAAGGTTTGTCTCAGATATATCTCTATTAGGTGAAAGCGAATTACCAACACAGTTAAGGCTAAAATTAAAAAGAACATATAATTGCTACTTCTGATTAATGTCAGAAAGGCTTTAATACAACTGTGATATAGTCACCTATCTGTTGCCTTGAAGTTCCGTGAGCACATAAAGTTGTAACGTAAGGGGTAAGTGTATGGATAGCTCCCCCCCACGGTCAGAGACAACCCAAACCGTTATTGTCAGTGATGATACCTGGGACTCGGGAAGTATACCCAATCAAGGGAATTGATCAAGTATCTCGAAGTAAGGCTGTCATAGAAAATACCTTTGAGTAAAACTGTGGTGTCGCCACCGTGGTACATGACATTGGGAGTAATGATATGGTTCTAAGCTTGTATCACTTGAGGCCTTGTGATTGTGGAGCTAGATAGCAACGCTGTGAGCATTACTCAGGTGGTTTAAAGACTTCGACCCTCGTGTTTAAAAAAACAAAGACTTTGATAAGAAGATAGGTTCAAACTGCACAGGTGTGAGCTATTAATCACCGTTGTATTGCGATGTCATCCTGTCGAGTCTTGTTACCCGGCAACACACACTACAATATACCGTGCAATACCTGCAACACACACCACAATGCTCCCTTAAATACATGCAGCACATTCTGAAACACATATATAACACACAAAACACACTAAAATACATTCACTATTGATTGTAATAAACAATGTAACGAACACATATAATAACACAAATTGCAGATGCACCCACATACAACAACGCATATCATAGTACCCATTTCGAGATAACAGGAGCCACTTACAATCAAGTGAAAGTAACTATGAGATAATTGGAGCCACTTGCAATCACGGGCAATGTAAATATGAGATACTTGGAGCCACATGCAATCACGGGCAATGTAAATATGAGATAACTGGAGCCTCTTACAATCATGGAAAAAGCAAATGAGATAACTGGAGCCACTTACAATCAAGTGAAAGTAACTATGAGATAATTGGAGCCACTTGCAATCACGGGCAATGTAAATATGAGATAATTGGAGCCACTTACAATCAAGGAGAAGGCAAATGAGATAACTGGAGCCACTTACAATCATGGAAAAAGCAAATGAGATAACTGGAGCCACTTACAATCAAGTGAAAGTAACTATGAGATAATTGGAGCCACTTGCAATCATGGGCAATGTAAATATGAGATAACTGGAGCCACTTACAATCAAGGAGAAGGCAAATGAGATAACTGGAGCCACTTACAATCATGGAAAATGCAAATGAGATAACTGGAGCCACTTACAATCAAGGAGAAGGCAAATGAGATAACTGGAGCCACTTACAATCAAGGAGAAGGCAAATGAGATAACTGGAGCCACTTACAATCAAGGAAAAAGCAAATGAGATAACTGGAGCCACTTACAATCAAGGAGAAGGCAAATGAGATAACTGGAGCCACTTACAATCAAGGAAAAAGCAAATGAGATAACTGGAGCCACTTACAATCAAGGAAAAAGCAAATGAGATAACTGGAGCCACTTACAATCAAGGAGAAGGCAAATGAGATAACTGGAGCCACTTACAATCAAGGAGAAGGCAAATGAGATAACTGGAGCCTCTTACAATCAAGGAAAAAGCAAATGAGATAACTGGAGCCACTTACAATCAAGGAAAAAGCAAATGAGATAACTGGAGCCACTTACAATCAAGGAGAAGGCAAATGAGATAACTGGAGCCACTTACAATCAAGGAAAAGGCAAATGAGATAACTGGAGCCACTTACAATCAAGGAAAAAGCAAATGAGATAACTGGAGCCACTTACAATCAAGGAGAAGGCAAATGAGATAACTGGAGCCACTTACAATCAAGGAGAAGGCAAATGAGATAACTGGAGCCACTTACAATCAAGGAGAAGGCAAATGAGATAACTGGAGCCACTTACAATCAAGGAGAAAGCAAATGAGATAACTGGAGCCACTTACAATCAAGGAAAAAGCAAATGAGATAACTGGAGCCACTTACAATCAAGGAGAAGGCAAATGAGATAACTGGAGCCTCTTACAATCAAGGAAAAAGCAAATGAGATAACTGGAGCCACTTACAATCAAGGAAAAAGCAAATGAGATAACTGGAGCCACTTACAATCAAGGAGAAGGCAAATGAGATAACTGGAGCCACTTACAATCAAGGAAAAAGCAAATGAGATAACTGGAGCCACTTACAATCAAGGAGAAGGCAAATGAGATAACTGGAGCCACTTACAATCAAGGAGAAGGCAAATGAGATAACTGGAGCCACTTACAATCAAGGAGAAGGCAAATGAGATAACTGGAGCCACTTACAATCAAGGAGAAGGCAAATGAGATAACTGGAGCCACTTACAATCAAGGAAAAAGCAAGTGAGATAACTGGAGCCACTTACAATCAAGGAAAAAGCAAATGAGATAACTGGAGCCACTTACAATCAAGGAGAAGGCAAATGAGATAACTGGAGCCACTTACAATCAAGGAAAAAGCAAATGAGATAACTGGAGCCACTTACAATCAAGGAAAAAGCAAATGAGATAATTGAAGCCACATGCAATCATGGGGAAAGTAAATATGAGATAATTGGAGCCACTTACACTTAAGGAGAAAGGAATTTTAAAATGATTGGAGGCATTTATAATGAAGGTAAAGTAACTATGAGATAATTGGAGCCACTTACAATTAAGGGGAAAGTAAATATGACATTACTGGAGCCATTTACAATCAATGAGAAAGTAAATATGAAATAATTCCAGAATCAAGGGGAAAGCAATTGTACGCATCCTTTGAAATAACTGCAATCGGTTTATTCTTTAGGAATTATTTGCGCATTTAGTACACACTGACACATACAAAGGAACCCTAACACCCCAAAGTTTCCTCTTTTTCAACATTATGTGTCCTCTGCGTAACACTTTGATGAAAAACGAAATGACCAACAAGGTAAGTAACACCGACAGTCTTATCATTAAATTCAGTAAGGCACCTACCTGGTGTAATGTACAACAGAGAGTGTCAGCGCTATTGACAAGTGTATGTTACAGGTCGGATATTGACAGGCAACCAAGGTTAAACATTGGAAAGCAACTTAATGTCAACTACATGCTAATGCAGTTCAGCGGAATCCAGTCACGTCTTGTACACCGCAGGTGACTGGTGACGTCATAGTGACATTGACAGCGTTCATTGTCTTACTCCCCCGCGTGAAAGGGTTACGGTTATTCACGTCCTGGTTGTAAGCTGCATTGATCTGACCTTGAAACGTCCCACGGGGCTTGAAGTCATGTCATTATGACTTTTTTCATTAGCTTCAAGTAGATTTGTTGGAGTAAGTGAGTACATTCTTACCGCCGCTTTGAACAGTGTCTGTCCTATACACGGCGAGTCAGCTCAATGTGGGAGACATTTAAACGTTATATGTCATACAGGTTCACCATACTACCAAATAC